GCCCAAATAACACCGTATACCTAAACAACCATGGCACGGTAAAAAAAAAAAAATGGTGAAGTGACATATAAATGTGCCTCACTAGGTAAGGGAAAGGCCTATCCGCAGTGCCCTCTGTTTTTGGGCTGATATAGAAGCAGTTATAGAAATATATTATAGAAAATATATAGTTTGCTCATCGAAATTGTTGTAATTCATTTTTGGATATTTGTGATAAAATATTGCGCTGGGGAACCGTAACAAGTGGCACATAACATTGTTGCTTACAGGCATGTTTGATGTTTGTACCTTGTATTAGACATGCATTGCAACCGACCCCACCCCCGAGTGTAAGTACCGCATGAGATGGGACGCAGGGCATTCCTTCCCCCAAAGACACCTCTCCTGGCTCATCTGTGCAAGCCTTTAGTATATGACAACCTGTACGACAGCCTATATGACAACCTGAATCATACCCCGGAGAACGTTTAAACTCACAAAATCTCCAATTCTACTTACCACTATACATACAACTGCACGAGTCGTGTTTTACTGCTGTCAAACAACTGCTTTAAACAATGGCAAGAAAAAAGGCAACAAACACAGTACTGACAAGCCTACCGGGATTCCATCGCAATATATATAGTGATATAAAAAGTATGTCAAGACAAAGTCTAAACTTTAACAAAAATCAAGTGTTCCTTTGCAAGTAGACACAAAAGGCTATGATTGAACTTAGTATCTTAACAATATCAATTTAAAAGCTTTCAAAGTAATTGAAGAGGAGATCAGGGTGATAATGAAATGCAAAACAATGTATGAGGCAGTGCTTATCTCAACTCCAAGGTGGAGGGCTAGCAGAGCAGCAAGGTTATCCTCCTCTCATCCACTATCTTATCACACACTACTCTACCACACACCGTCCCAGCTGACTCAGTGAATAACACATTGATTAGTAAGTGATCGAGTGCTTGGAACTGCTATGATTCTTGGAGAAAATAACTTACCGCATTCATGTACTGGGTAACAGTCGGCAGGTGTTCGGTTGATCCCTCATTGAAGCACATAATGTTTTTCCGTCGTAAAATGTTGTACTCCTGCTGTACATACCCGCACGAAAACGAAGTAGATACTCCAGCGCAGTAGACTACTGCAATCATGCTGCAAACATGCTTCAAATCTGCTTCGATGTGGGAGCTAATTAACATATTTGAAACATGCTTCTATCATGCTGCTAATCTACTGCATTTATGCTCCTCCTCTGTACAACCCTATGTAATTTTTGAAGTAGAATTGCAGTAGTCTATACTGCATTTCTACTGCAAATATGCTCCACACCACTACTGCGTTAATGCTTCTTTGCTACTTCGATTCTACTGCATTTTCTTGCGGGTAATGCTTCTGCAGACGGAATAAACTGTTGAAGCCTGATGAAATTTGCTGAATTGAACGTTGAATTTGAAGGCTGTAGATAACTTTTGGCTAAATCGTATTGTGCGCACTTATATAATGATTCGAGAGCACAATTGGGTCAGGCAGTGGCGCTTGATGTAATTAAGTAGCATCACGTACGTCATTTGAGACTACCCCTCTCTATGGGAGAGTTCAGCGTGTGCGGAATGCACATGTGCATAAATAAGCTCTGGAGATTGTTGTCGCCATGAAATGTCTTTTGATTACGCCTACTTCTCTTTAACATATCCCTTTTTTACATGTGTCAGGTCAATCTTGATATACATATTTACTAGCGATGGGTGCGCTGATTACTGTACATGCTGCACAGTATATGGGACCAACTGCAGACATCCCTCGACAAAGAAAAAACAGGTCACAGATAACAGGAGAAGCCAAACAACATTTTTACACTACAGAGTGGTATCACAAAAAATTAGAAATCGAAATACAGTCTACAAGGACGCAAGTAGAAATGAGAAAAAAAAATAAAGGGGAACTATTGCGTTGAAAAAACTTACATTGAATAGATAGCAATCAATCTGTCGTTGTGTTAAATGATTTCAATGTTTAACTTGTAGCCATGTTGTGTTTTATTACACTAAACAGAGATTCGTAGCTAAATATCAGGTCTGCAAATTCTTGCAAACTCCTGCCAACCAGCTGCTACAAAGTTTTAGTTTGCTGCAATATTTCGGCACTATTGCTGCAACATTTTGCTGAGGGGAAGACCTCATTCTAGTCAGTGTTCATGGTGGATTTTTTCTAAATTATACATGATAATGCGCCACTGTAGGATATTACGATCACAAAGTCCATTATGAACATTGCAGGCTCCTCAACTTGTCAAGTCTCTCTCTCTCTCTCTATTTCTCTCTCTCTCTCTCTTTTCACCCCCTCTCAATATTGGTAGCCGCATAAGTAATTGAAAATAATTAAAATTTACATTACCCCTCTTTCAGCAATCAACCAACATCGCTATTTTCGTCATAAAACGCGCTGACTTCTGTTGAGCCAAAATGTTTCTCCCTGGAATAATGCGGCTCTTCTAGGGGAATTCCTGTATGGGAGATCATTTCGTAACAGATCACTCACTGTTTCCTTTGGACGAAAAACGCGTTAATGTGTTTTTAAAGAATCTAATCTAATTCAGACCTGTGTGAAATGCGTCGTATATTATAAAATTCTAGGGGTAGGAATAAATTATTTAACTCGGTCAGTTGTAGCTTGCACATGTATATGAATCAAATCTCAGTTTTGTCTTCTTTTGTTGTAGGTCAAGACAATGACAGTTGTATGCAGCGGTCATCAGAAATGTCGCCAGATCCACCTCGATGTTCTGACCAGCATGGACACTGTGAACTACCCTGCAGCTCAGATTTGGTGCGATTATGAATAACCTAATATCCTCCCGCGGCATGGAACAATTAAAAAAATTCACTGCGGTTTGAGTATGAATAGAGGAGTGCCAAAAGTGAGTGGCTTCGGATTTCGTTTTCAGGATAACTAACAACAATTGTTGCAATAATTCTTGTTTTTTAATTGATTTAGGTATTTAACCTGGTACATATTTACTGTGACTATTTACTTTACATATTTACAGTGACTAAGACTGTAAAATATATTAAGTAAGTATACTACATGTACATGTAGTAGCACGGCACAAAAAAAAAAAACTATGTTAAAATAAATGCTGATTAAGAGACTGATTTGTAATCAATGTACATATTAACTCAAAACTAACTAAATTTCTATTTTATATACGGTATTTGAAATAAACTCCCGCAGTTAATGGCAAAAAATCGTTTCTTCCTTTATTTATATACCACATTTAATCAGTTGGAAATGCTCCAAAATTAAGTCTTACAGTTACACACACATAAGAAATTCAAATATTAGAAAAATTATTTCAAACAGTAATTTACAGTCTTTTATCATTTTAAAGAAAATGATTCGTTACTCTTTGTCACGCTTAACATAGTGCAAGTAATTGAACTACGATATTGGCACCGCAGTTCTGGAAAACCTCGTTTTCTTGTGATTGATAACAAATTCACCTTTCACATTGATCAAGTCCTATTATATGTTTTAGGCCCTTACAAAAAAACAATGGACAAACAAAAAATGAAAGATGCCGAGGTTAATGTGCTTTGCCGAGAGAATTAGCTGGTCGATTTAACAATTTACAAATCTCAAGTAAAAAGAGAAAATTAATATTTCTTTGAAAATCAAGTCCATTTAACTCGCGTCATTTTCAGAAAAGTTTTCTTTCGATTTTCATTGAAACCACATTTATGATTTGAATTTTTTAATTCTTAAGTTAAATCTTAAACTACTGAACTACTGAAGTAGATCTTTCTATACATAGCTCAATAAAATACTTTTCCTGTATTTTTCTCTTCACTTAACGGATAAAGGACAGTGATTGATTTTAAATAGGATTAACATTTTAAGTCTTTGTCTACAGTAATGTAATAGGATGTTAGATTGTGTAAAAAGTGTCAATATTGCTATAGATGTGTAAGCCGGGCACATCTGATGCACTACATAAACATATCTGAACAGTTTCATATTTTACTGAACCACTCCCTTGTGTGTGTGTGTGGCAGTGTGATTCCGTTATTTGTATGTGTGACAGTGTGATTCAACTATTTATGTATGTGGCAGTGTGATCCAGTTATTCCAAGTAGCAGCTTAATATATATACATGTAGGCCTATAGCGTACAACAGAGGACTTTTTGTTTGTTTTTTTTTCTTACGGAATCTTCAATAATAATTTTAATTTAAATATATAAGAATATATAATATACAATATAATGATCCCCTTCTTGGTAAGTTTATTAGCCAAATTGATATTTTGGAAAAATTTCAGGCTAAAAATCAAAGATGCTATGGATGACCTCATTCTCATATCGAGGCGCTACATATTTTTCTGATCTATGTGGAACGCCATCACTCCGGCAACATTTCAAAACGTTTGAAATTTACGCACAGACGCGTCAGGTTCACCAACAAGAGGATACCGTACAAAATATTGAAATGTGTATTTGATTTTTTAATATCGTAAGCTTATTTAATAGTTCATTCGGGGAATTTTTGTGAAAAAATCCATTAAGAATTTGAATGAAAGCAGTGGTTTATGACTCGATTTTATATATCAATTTTATTTATTTATTTATTTTATTTTATTTAATTAATTACTTAATTATTTATTTATTGGCTTTGGGAGTATAAATAGCTTTGAAGCTACAAGACATGCAATGGCAGATTTAGTGGAGGACACAGCAGGCACGTGTCCCTTACATTAATCTCCCGTGGTACTTTCTTTTTTTAACTATTTTGGAAGTTGTTAACAGGTCATGTATTGGACAGTGCAACATAAACCCTTTTGGTGTGCCGTAATTAGTTGAATTAGCCTGAACTTTTTCCCTAAAGTAATTTGCAAGATTCACATAAAATACCTTTTTCTTCGATAAGGAAACGATATAAATATCAGGTGTTTTATTTTTTCATTGCACTGTTCATCAATGCAAGCTGCAAACATAAAATTAAGAATAAAAAGAACACATGTTTAACATGATTTTATTATGCTTAAGCCCAAGCACGGCGAAACGCAGTAGATATGAACGACAACCAATGTTTTGAAAAATCAAAATTATATGATACCATGTAATATGTTTCCAATAATAAGCTCCCACGTACACTATAAATGTCATAGTACAATGCAGACTTTGTTTCTAGAATATTTCCCAAATGGGTTTGTTTTAACTGTATATAATTTTTTCGTCGTAACATTTATGGTGTACAATTGCATAAATAGGATTGAGAATTTCCCACAATTTGACCACTCTGTCGAAATAAACTGTAGAAATGAATCAAAGAAAACAAAGGGTTTATAACTTAAACCTAAATTAATAAACACGAGCACCTCTTAATAAAGAACCATATTATATATCCTCAGGGTTATACAAATTGTTTTAATGGTTGTCAATGTTTAAACATTTAAGAAAAGTCAATGCAGAACCAAAAGGATTGCGAGCACCACCAGTTTCAATATTCAGTGTCCATTGTTGATTTCCGTTTGGTCATTTTGTCCTTTAGCCGCTGTAGGGTTGCCTCCGTTTAGGTAAAGTTCATTTTAGTTCGCTGGCGGAAAGCCCTTTTAGCAGCAAAGCATGTTTGCAAGTTGCAAGACTTCGAAATAACGAAAAGAGACAGTTTCTGCTAGTTATTTGAACAGTTTCAGTGGCATCATTTTGAGTCCCAAATGGTCCTGTGTCCATATACTTGGGTGCAAGGTTTGAGGGGACGTCCTGCACTCCCCTTTAGCTCCCACCATCGACTGGATACAGTACCCTTAGTGTAACATACACGTCCATGAGCTGACCCTTTCTTCATTATCAAAAAGGTCTGTAATAATTTTGACAAGGCTTGCTTCCAACGTGTCTTAAATATGTCATGCAATTCTCATGATAGCACTACACACGTTATTTTGTTATTTTCTTTTCATACCCTGCACTTAAATGGTTATTTCTTTTTTCAATTTGGTAACAGAGGGGGTGGTGACTACAGCGTGTGGGGACATTGATCTTAGCATGATAACAAATTACATATAATTATGGAGCAATTAATTCCAAAAACTAACCAACCAAAAACTTCTTACTAAAATAGCTTAGAAAATATCTACGAAAACATAACCAAAAGTATATATATAATAATTCTTAAGCTGATACTTTTCTTTAAACATAAAGGAATTCTTTATAAATACAAAGTCAAAATAAAACTATTAGTTCCAATTTGGTAAAGTACATGCACATATAAAAAAAACATATCTTGTTCTCTTTCATCTATAACATATTTGTAAAAAGTCACCATATTGCAGAGCATATTTCTCAGATAAAGCTACAAACATATCCTAATAATAAGCGAATTCTATGCTCTTCCTCGACTTTACTTAATTACGAAATTACTTATTTCGAGAAAAAGTTAACTTTTACTTACATGCACAGTGCACTTCCAAATAAAGTAATAATGGCCCTAGATTTCAAATCAGTGGCCGATATCATTACGCCTGCCATTCCATTAATATTTGCAAACACGCTCTTGAGCACTATCGACGAGTACCTTATGCAAAAACGGCTACACACACTAGATACTGCAAAAGTGTATAAACCGTGATGCTTGTTATTTTTTTTATTTTGGACAAACGCGTGCCAAAAAGTAAAGAAAGAATTATGAAGCTGTCTCAAGACATTTTAACCAGATGGAAGGAAGATACGAGGGTAAGTAGTTCAGAGTAGTTGGAGGCGTCTGGGGTCTTGTCCATTTACCACCTGAAAGGAAATGTGCCATAAATGACTCCGCTTACCAATTTGGTGAGCACATGGTGATATTGTTAAGAAATATCGCTACATTTTAAAATTTTCAATAATATCTAGACTAAGGTACATATTTTACCTATCCACGTGGGAATAATGAACATTAAAGAGAATTTAAAATTAACGTGGTTCCTTAAGAAGGGTAGTCCATGAATAACAATGATAAGAAAAGGAAAGTTATGCAATTTCAATTAACATGTTATCATAGGTGAAACCAGGGCGCTCCCCCCTCCTTTCATAAATCAAAATGACGAGTTCTGTTCCCTTCCAGGAACTGTCAGAAAAGATTAAAACCCACAGAAAACAGCTTTAAGTCATGCATACTACAACAAACATAATATTATACCATTTGTTTAGATGAATAGAAACAGTTTTCCACAGGGCAGTGGAGTAGTAAGGTTAGAGTACCCCCTCAATTCATGCCCTGAATTCATCAGTAATGGTTAATACGAAATATTAAAATACACAGGGTGTGGAGAGATGGGGTTAGTTTTGACCCTCGCTTAATGCCCTGAATTTACCAGTAAAAGTTGATACACAAGATTATAATGGGGGTGGAGATACGGGTTAGTTTCCCCCTCGCTTAAAACACTCAATTTACCAGTAATGGCTAATACAAAATATCTTACCTTACGGCCACAAAGGAGAAGACTCCTCTACGAGGGGTCCCCAATCTGAAGCATCGCTCGTCGGAATGTCTAGGATGGTCTCGTCGTTAAGTGGGAATGTGTTCCAGTCGCCACATATGCCAAGAATACGGTGACACCAAATGGGGGGGATTTTAATCACCATACAGTGACGGGCAATGTAGAGCGTGATCTTGAAGAATTTGCATTCAATAGACAGGTAATACCCTGGTATGTGGGCATTTAGCCACACAACCGTGATGCGAAAATATGTCCCCTCAAACAGGAATTCCTCTTTTGTAATTGTTGTCGTCAAGATTACGGGGGTTCCAGGGCCATCTATTACCTATAATCATAAAAAAGACAAAAATAATAAAGATAGCTTTGTTAAAACATTATCCATAGAATTTGCGTGCGCAGCATGGAAAAGTAGTCCGCTAGGAACCGTAGTCCGTTTCCCATAACTTTTTACAGGTGTCAATCGTCCCTTTAAAGTCCCCGGATAGACACTACATTTAAAAATGGACTTACATTTAGAATTAAACACCCATTCACCTGCACTAGCTCAAATTTAATTTATGTATTAACTTGCAGTGGATGCGGTGAGAACTATATAGGACAAACTGGAGACACTCTCCGACACAGAATGACCGTTCACAGACAACAAATAAGACAACCCAAATATCAGCGCACGTCTGTGAGTGGGCACATTAGGGAATGCTCTATGAACAAAAACAAGGACTTTACGGTATTCCCATTTTATAAATTCACTAGGGAACCCAAACAGAAAGGGAAATTAAAGAAAATCTATTCATTAATAAGTATTAACCTACATTGAATAGATAATAGCATTGGTGAAAGCAACAATTAAACACCCTTTGTTACAGACGTCACATTTTAGCCTTTATGACATCACCTAGTAACAAATAAACAAAACCCCCTGAAGAAAGAATGGAACCGGTCGGGGCAAAATTTTCTTTTTATTATATATACATATATATATATAAAAAAAAGAAATAAAAAACAGCGGTTATAATTTATTGTATCAAAAATTTAAAAGAAATATCGAATTAAAACACAGACTGCACACCGCACATAATAGGCCAAGGCCAAATACTCAAGGTAATATTAACATGTTCTACAATTCACATTATATGTTATACAAATCCAATAGTTCAATAGTAATAAATACAGGTACATGTCTTATATTTGTGGAGATGTAAGACCTGTAAAAGTGCTTTTCATCGAGTAAACTAGTTAGTAAAATGTCAAGGTGAATGGAATGATCACAATTATGTCACACCAGTTAACAAATGCATATCGATATCAATTATCCAGGTAAATAGGGATGAAAATCTCATTCTCCTTTGCTTTCACTTTAGGTACTGTGCTAATGATATTTCTGTCAGTCTGTGTCACATATCTTTATTAGGATAAACATGATATTAGTTTTGTTGCTAAGGTGATTGGAACTTTGTATTAAATTGGATCGCCAGACCCCCAGCACTAGTTGCTGACGCAGTGCGCAACTAAAATGCGCGACGTTGCTGCACGTTATAGCATAAAGAAACTACATTTAAATAGAAAGGAACTGTATACGGAGAGAGAGAGAGAGAGAGAGAGAGAGAGAGAACTCACTTCCAAAGTGTACGTTCCTGTGAACGTGCTCTTGAAAAAGACGGTAACACTACTTTGCCAGCAGCCAAATTTCACAGCTTTCAATCGGGTCTTCGGGGGACCATTGAAGTATTCGTGCTTTGTCAACACATACCACATTGGACATGCAGGCATTGCCATAAAGCCGATATGATCAGGGCTGGTGTTGTACCTGAACTGTCTTTTATCGCAAGTCATATAGCGGATATCACCGTGAGCATGGCAATAACAAGTGCCAAGATCTGGAATGGATAAGTAGCAGGATAAGTATACCAGCAAAGAACATATGGTAACGGTGCATCTGTGTGATATGCATTCATTGTCAGTTAACTGGAGCCTTTCATAAAATGACTAACTAGAAAAAAGTCAGATATATTATGCACACTTTAGTCTTTTCTACGTTAGACTAATTCTGATTTATACGGGAAGTTATACTGAAACCTGACAATAGCAATGGTTGCACTCTTATGGTCAAAGGAGGAAAAGGCAGAAATTGCAATGTTAAAAAATTAAGATCATCCAATTTAAAAGCACACTAAAGTTCCACAATGCACATGCACACCCCCGATGATAGGCCCATCAATCTCCAAAAGTTTCAACTTCCTCACTCTAATGGTCTAAAAGGAGTTAACAGAAATTACAATGTAAAAAGAATTTTAATTCTCACAAGAATCAACCACCCCCAGCACTGAAACGCTTAAGTGCCCATGCGCTCACACGCATTTATATATATCGGTATGCTTTTATATAAAAAACGCGTTTGAACTCACTAATATGCAAATTTACTGAAAAAATCCTTGAACTCAAATGTATCCAGTGTTTGCCACTTAGGAAAATAATTTGCTGGTTCCGATGAGGAGCTTGACCTAAAAGATGCTGGACTAAACATTCTACGGGTGGGCGGGAAAGGGGGAAGAAGGGGGTTGCCTCCCCCCCCCCTCTGTACGCGGTGGGGATTTGGTGGAACTCCCCTTGAAAAGTTTGAAAATTTGAAGTAAAATGGTAAGTTTCGGTAGTATTTCACCTGCATGTGCATTATAAATTAACGGGTATTAACGGGAACACTACATTTTAAATCTTTTTTTCAAAAGTTATGAATACTCTTGGAAATAAAAAAAACAACATTTTTATCATCACTTCTCATTGCCAAAAAGGTTCATTTAAGGTCATATATCTACCAGCCGTTAGCCCTGACGAGTACATCTCTCAATTGTCACAGTTACAGTTAAATAATTAATGAACCTTTTAAATCAAGAACTTGATGTTAAACTGTTAGTAAGCGTAAGGTTACTCAAATCTTTTAATGGTAAATTTCTAAAGTGATCACTGTCACTGCCACCACTGTCAAACAGTGAGTCATAGTCACTGACATTTTGATGTGACGGGTATCTGGCTGATTAGAGTAACTTTTTGTAGGACGATCTGCAGGGCCGGCCAGCTATGGCCTTGCCAACAAAAATTATCCACGGAAATTAACTTTTCCCAAGCTAACCGCAAGGGTCTTTGCCTGGAAAGTTCATATTATTTGCATATTATTTTCTCTTTCTTAAAGCGGCTATAGGTCTTTTTTGCCTCCATTCCCACTGCTCGGAGCGGCGGTAAATGTTTAGAAAGCGAACGTGTCGTAAACTAATACGACCCACTTAAAAAGCCGTCGCAAAACATGTGAAGACGCAGTGCTCGGGTTTAAATTATACATTTCTCGGTTGAAATATCCTTCGGAAACAAACAAATAAATAGCCAAAGCACACAACACTTTATTTGGTAGAAAGAATTATAGTAGGCTTGTTAAGGACCAAAAATTGGCCAAATGCTGCATTTTGTAGTACAAATGTCTAACTGAGGAATACAAATCATTTTATTAGGGCTTTTCCCAATCATTTATTTCTTCTTTTATGTTACCGCTTTTTCTCAAGTTTTCCTCAACCAAGTTTTCTTCCAAGAGAGTAATGCATAGGCATGCACATGCTTCAGATTTTGAACTAACCATTCGAGGCGACCACAGTCTCTTGACGTCTACTGTCACCGAATTTAGTAAGAAAGTCACAAAATACTTTCACAGTCAAAGTTAGGAGAGCGTCAGTGAAATTTTGAAAAGTTATGACCGTCTTCCGGTAGAAAAAAAAATAGATACCCGTGTGCTCTAGTATACTTTTAAAAAAATATATATATAATAAATATATATATTAACCAATGTTTTCATGATTATATTTCCCTGTTCTGTATGACAACCGATTGTGCCGTACCGACACGTCCTGTACAAATACAATGACTGCTTAGTTGATCGGTAGGGTAAGGCAAACCAGACAGCAGACATAAGTACATGTAATCTTAATGTAACATGCACCGATCATTTGTAAGTGATTATGTAGCTCTGAATTAAAATGAAAGCCCGTTTTAAATTGATTCAGTTCTTAATAAATGTCACATGATCTGTCACAGCACACACCCACTGCAAACGTTTCTTGTAAAGAGGCGCTTAAGGCACAGAACGGATTGCTCGAGTCTGTCTTTGAACGCTTCATGAAAATTGTATTGTTATCTAAAGAAAAGAACAATGTCAATCTTTATCCTCAAACTGTACAACCTGCAAAGTTGAATTAACAAAGTCATCAAACTGTGGTTTTATAGGAAATTCAGACATCTGCCTTAAGGAAAAGACAATTCAAACTGTCCGATCACGTGACTTATGCCCTAGCTTTCATAAACTGAACACTAGCGTAACTCTCGCTCGCTTGTTTTTTATTACGCTCCTTACATGTTTGCTTATTATTAGTCATCAACTTCTTGACACCTTTCTCTTTTTTATTGCTAACCCTACCAAAGTAAGCTTGTCTATAAAAAGAAACAAAGAAAATATTCTACAACGCATTTATCACCCTCCGGCAATCCACATATTACATGTATATCTTATATTTCAACATTAGATCCCTAAAAAAAGCATTTACATGTATCTAAACACCATGTTCTGTCCATACCTAATGTAGACAATGGCCACTGTTTTGACTCACAGAATAACTTTTTTCTCAGATAATAATAATAATAATAATAATAATAATAATAATAATAATGATATTTAATTCAATGCATTTTTCAATGATAATTACATGTACAAATCTGGTAATATCATTACTTACAGTAACAAGGCAGGGGTTTAACAGGAAACGCACAGTCCCCATAGTAGGCTTGCTCTTCGGGTGTCAGTGAGTTCCACATGTCATCAAATGCAATTGATATGTTTTGTTCTTCCGGGGTAAGCTGAGCCTGGACAGAAACAAAAGCTACCATTGCCACAGCAAGGAACATAAGCACGGCCACGTTTCTGTCTCCTGTCATCTTCAAGCTGGAATCTTTCTGGCACTGGTCTTCAAGGAGAGGCGCACAACAACTGATATTTTCTCTCCTCCGCCCATCTTATATATTCATTTGTAAGTGGGCGTAAAGACCGCCTTCGCCACGGTGGCATACGAAGCATGCGCATGCGTCTTAGTTGCCAAAACTGCGCCTCGTCTCTTTTTGAATCTTTCCCAAAGGAGGCCAGCCGTTTGCAGAAAACCGTCATTCTAAGCATGTGTTGAGAGCGTTTTCATAAATTTTGCTTGAAAACCAATGTCGATTTCATATCTCTCAAATTACCAGACCAACATTTTCAAAGTCCAGTTGTGTCACCGTTGCTTTTTTTACCATCTAAAGCTTTTTGACAACATTTTAAATGTTCCTAAATTATTCCTAATAAAGAAATAGGGTAAAGAAATCGATAATGGCAATTTCATGTTTATCAAACGTCCATGTAATAATGAGCTGATTATGTAGTTTTTATAAAATACTTAAAAATGTAACATCTTCACTGTGTCAATGGAGAGGACACATCCGATTCTCAAATTCTAAATTGATATTTAGATTATGGATAAGAGACGGCATTATAAATTAACCTTCACTCCAGTATATCTCAACGCAGTTAGAAGTGAACGAAAATCAATCTTTTCTAGCTACACTTAATTGACATTATTTATTCAAATCATAGGAGACAGCGAAATGCATCAGTAGGCACAAACTGCGCAATTAATTGAAGTGTGTAGTATTTTTCTAGTCAGTCGAGAAAAAAGTTGCTGGTACCAGTGACTTTTTAGAGGTAAATTAAATGTCTTCATTTTTATGTACTTTTGATGGCAATCTTCATATTCATTTTAAAAAAAGTGTAGACCACAAAACTGACAAAATGATTCATTGCATGCAGCATGGCCGCTTTGATTTTTTGCCAAGCTTTATGGTTATACTGAACACTGTACTGGATAATGATAGAAATCATTTTAATGTCACATTAAGAGCTGAATGTTAATGTGATGCATTAAAACCAACACCTCAGTTAATTGGTATCATCAGCACAGAAGAATTTTAATCAAACATATATTTGTATTTTGTGTAACACAGAAGGGCTCACGCTCCTTACTTCTGTCACCTCTTATAGTGCCCTTGGGAAACTTAACAAGACGTCTTTGGACACAGTTTTCATTGCACTTTTCATATGGAATGAGCTTCTTATTAAGCGCTTATCCTTCAAATTAAAAGATGTGATGCCACACGAAAGACAACTCAGCACACAAAAATACTGAATATTTTAAAACGTAGTGGTTTGTTGGTTAGCAAAAAAGACCCAGCTTCATCGCATAATCAATCAACAGGAACTTGCAGCAAACTTACGATATATTGAGTTGATTTTTCAAATTTTGTTGTACTGGAAAAATCGCCATTTTTAATAATCTTGCATGTTAAAAACAACAGATATCCCTAATTTACACGAGGTTTCAAACACTGGTGCATCCCAAAACCACCGGTACATGTGAATTTACCCCCTCTCCCCCAGCAATTCCCTAATTCACTTTCAAAATACTTAGTTGTTTGGGATGCTAAGGCCTAGATTCAGACCTCATATTTTGACAACTAATCACTAAAACACCGATGGTTCTTCTGGTGAGCTGTAATTACATAGCTGATTAAGATTGTGACTTCAAGATTGTATATCAAGTAGGTTTTTCAGAATGTCTTTTTTAGCGCACTCCAGCACAAGGTGTGCCAGAGTGTTGAAATAGCAAAACTAACCTACCTTTTTAAATAGTAGAGACATTTCTCCGGAAAATAACGTATTTCAGATTGGGAATTAACACGACAACATTTCTTAGACTCCATCTTTCCATCTTAACGGTACTTTCTATATTACCCTCAGCCAGCAGATAGCTAACCTAACCAAGTCAGGGTTTTGCAAGGAGCCATGTCATTGGACGGATATTTTTAGGTTATCGTAATGTGTTCATATCAGACCAATGACAGCATACGTATAATCACCATCATTTCATACTAAGATCCTTTCAATTTCTAAGTTCTCTTTAAAACATCAATATTATAAAACACATCGGGCGTCTCTACACGCAACCGGCAACAACATGTATTTTCCTTTGAATTCCACTCGTATTTATCATTTAAGTTAGATACACCTCTTAACTCCACTAACAGTAATATAATAAAGTCTATAGAATGTGCGAGGCTTTTTCCAAACACAACGCAGCATGCAGCCGTTCTTCACACTTGCTCGCCTTCCTAATAGAGCCATCAAGTACAATCCAGGGCGGCAGATATTATAGGCACATTTTTCAATTCATAGTTAAAAGATTGACCACATTTAGCCAGTGCATATCTAGTGAAAAATCAATCAGTGGACTGGTAGAGGGTAGGGATAAGCATACTGAAAGTAGGAAAAACATCAACTGCGTTACTAATGAACACAAACGCCAACCTTCTCCATACAATCGTTAGAAGGGCCTTATAAAACTGGACAGTACCCATGATGCGCGTATGCTGTCACCAAGTTTCTTTTACCGACCAAACGACCACGAAGACGGGCCAACCAGTTACTAGTTAGTAAGTGAATAATGAAATCCATGCCGTGTTTTCCTTTCTATAGATACTGCTCTTAGTTAAGGATATGCCCACAATCAATCAATCCAAATAGTAAGTGTACCTCTCTCTGGTGCAGGTATGGGTCCTCTAAAAGCCGATCAATAAACAATAATAATAAAGCAATAAACTCGATCAGCGTAACGACAATAAATTAATAATAATGACGCCTACACATTAATTGAGAACGTTGAAATTTTATAAAATCTTTTTGGCATTATCTTCAAACTGCGTTGAGGGACTTGTTTTGGCCATTTGAAAAAAGGTACGTTTCAGGTATTTAAACGTACATAGACGAAGAAACACTTTTTTGGCTGAAATCTGCACTGTCCCCTGTAACACTGGGAAAAGATGAGCAGTTGTACTTTAAATGTACGCTCCCTGGCCATTTCCGAAGCCAGCAGGAAAATATAATAATAATAATAATAATAATAATAATAATAATGATAAATAAATAAATAAATAAATAAATAAATAAATAGTGTAAAAAAAACATCTTCAACATTATTCTGTTATCTTCTCCGCAACAATGTTGAACCTTTCCTTACTTTACTTAAACGTCTATTCAACATAATTTCACACTAAAGATTTGTAAGTCATTTATATGGTAACTACGCAGAAGTGGAGTATCTGTGTTTTTACACGTTGTACTATAGCAGCATAAACTCTGCACAGCACAAATCAAAGTGAAGCAGTTGAAAATTTGGCTGAAATATACGTAATGTTAATAAAAAGGTCTCAAACATGGGCAACTTGCCATGAGTTTGCGTGAGATCATTTCTTAAATTTTATTTGCCGCATTATAATATTCCCCATTACTTACAGTTTACACCAGGTCTTCAGTGAATCCTCCAAACCTTAAACGGTATCGTTATTAAATACGCTTCAAAGATTTAGATGTTCCCCATGCTATAAGCATATGCAATGGTACATATATCAACAGTTGAAAACGACATCTCTACTAAATTGAAAGACAGGAGGGACCATTCGTTGTGTATAAATCAGCTGGCTCAATAGAGAACATGATTAAAGTGGTGTAAGTTTAGCTTAACCAGCTTTTAAATTATTCTTCTTAAGACACTTATAATTAAGCAAAATGTGAAATCAACTAAGAAAACAATTTCACCCCATACAGGTATCCATTTTTTCATGTAGTATACGCTAGTATACAATAACGAATGGCCCCTTAGTGCAATGGAAAGGCAAACCGTTTCTTTTTAAAAAAAATCCCATTCATTACGACCTGTTCTTCCAGTGTGCGGGTTGCCTTAGAAGTTGGTTATAAACCGCATCAGCTGAACAACAAAGAGAAGCTTATATATAGAGATGTTCTTCTTTTGTGAAAACAGAGTAAGAGAGTGCTGGAAATTTGGGCCTTTATTTGGACAATTATGTCTGAATCCAGCTGTGTTGTAATATAGTGGTGGCATACTGGTCATTTCATGGCCAGATTGCATTAGAAACATCATGTATGTAGCCAAATGTTCACAAGCACAACAAAATTCTGTCTTTGCTCAAAAGTAAATAAGATAAGTCCATATGACTGAAAATTGTCATTTTTTAATTACGTAAACTAATAAGATGCAAAGTTACAATACTGGGGGAAATGCACATCCCCCATACTATATAAATGCCATAATATAAAAATATTGAAGTAGGTTAATGAGTGCAACCAAAATCAATTAAGAAAAATTTGAGAAACCACAACAGCTATTGGAGTAAAAAGTTGGCACAAAGAAAAAATAAAGGCCGCCGTAGTTATATAAATTGGGGATAATCATAGATCCCCATACTAAAGAACAACCATAATATATAATAACTAAAGTTAAGGTTAATGAGTGCAACCGACGTTAAGAAAAGGGACGACGTTATGAAGAATTATGTAAAACAACAATGGCTATTAGAGCAAAAAGTTGGCACAAATGTAAAATAAAGGATAAGAATTTAAGTGCAAAAGGGAATACAAAGTAATAATAATAATAATAATAATAATAAAAACACAAGGGCGAAGGCAGGTGATATAGGATGGTGGAGGGTGTCCAAATAAAAATAAAATAACAACATAAGTAATCTTCCAGTGAACGGTAGCTTCTAAAACCGCATTATGGGAAATGCGGGTAAATATCACCGCAACTAAAAAGCTGAATGATTTCTCACTTATGTAGCTCGATAGAAATAGATGCAAAAAAAAAAAAAAAAAAATGTGCGTGCCTAGATACACAGAGGCTGAGACATTCCAGTATCCCGGGGATCTGTCATCACCGTACGTTGGTCAACTACCTAAATGTCGAAATGTGCAGACAGAAGCCCAAACAAAGACTATTTCCTATAAACATTACGTTCATATATAATAAACAAAATTATTACAAACATTAAAAACAAGCCAATTCCTACATAAATAATACACTTAATTATCTTAATTGTTATTATAACATAGTCGTATAACAAAG